CGGGGAATTTTGAGGACCAAACTGGGGAAAAAAAGAGGCTGTTTGATTGGGGAAGCAGCCTATATTCGGCCCTACAAAGAAGGGTATTTTGGCCCTGGGTATATACTGGCATGCGAGCAGTTCCCATACAAAAATCATAGTATCTTAAAAATCCTTTTTTATTACACTCACTCACCAAAAATTGAATGTTACACATCAATTTTCGGCTTGTCACACAAATCATGGAAATTCCATCATGTTTTCTAAACATAGAATAACCCTTAGTTATGAGGCCTCATATGGAGTACCGAAATTATCCATTATTTTGTATGAAGAGAAGTAGTTCCCGTACATAAAATTTAACACATTATAATTATACAATTCTGTTATATCAGACCTATTTTTCATTTGTAATTGTTGAACAGACCATTTTCTCAGAGGTATAAATAGATGTTATTCAGGAAAAAGAGCGTAGACTAAACGCTGGTATCTATTACCAGGTACCGTAACCCCAATGCATTCACATGCAGTGGCATGCTTGTATGCATGATATTTTACGCATTAAAGCCATAAAATTATTTAATGTAGTAATATGGGTCAAAATTCTGATAATTAAGTTTTCATCACATTGCCCACTTATCTGTAAATTGGTGGTATTAGTGGAAAACCCTCTAACAGGCCTCACGTGTAAGTATTTTTGCGCATGTGCGCAAGGACGGAATCCCCCAAAGTAAACAAGGTCACATTTTTACAACACACAGGTGAAAGCGATTTAAAATGAGACTTTTTATATGTACTGCCAAACTGACTGATTTTGTCTTTTATATGCATCTGCTTGATTTGACATAAATGTTTGAAGAATGCAAGTAAAAGTCAAGCATTTAAATGAAAAATATGGGTACTGTTTCGGTACGGGAACTGCTCACATGCCAGTTCACTTTAACACATTTTTTTTCTTCTAAATATTAATAATAGTTTAATCATATATAAATCTTATCTGCTTCATGTCCTAAAAAAGATTTCTTATGGCACCAACATTAAACAAGTTTTTCTTTTAGCCAATGTATTTTATTCAAACTTTCCATCAACTTGATTCATAGTTTATTGACGTTTATTAAAATTTCTATGTCTTTAAGGGGATTATAGCTTTCTATCCTCAGGAAGAGCATGAAATTGTCTTATCTGATACAATTTTACCAAGCTGAAAAAGGTGACATAATAAAATATTCTTTTTTAAAAAAAAGCACCCAATGACTAAAGTTTCACGAAAGCTGTCCGAAGAAGAGCAGCGCACTCTACTTTTTTCTCAGTGCTTGAAAGTAATCTGAACAGTTTATACAAACAGAGATAAATTGAATAATATGTCACACTCTGACCTTTGACCTAAAATGGGCATTGAACGTAAAAAAAAACCTCATCATGTTTCATCTACATACAAAGTCTGAAGTTTTTAGGTCAATGCGCCAAGTTAATTACCATAAACAAATACCGGTACTTAAACAAAAAAGTTAACCCAGCAGACACCAACTAGTGGGTCATGACAATAGCTTAAAACATTTCTTCAAAAAGTTTATTTTAAAAATGGTCTCTTATGGCAGGACAAATGTATTAAATTGATATGGAATGAAACTGTATAGAATTAAATATGTATTACGATGGGATACCAAACCCTGCATTTGAACATTTAATATTTCAACAGAAATATAATAACAAACATTAGCAATAACATTTCAACAAACCTTAACATTGTACATAAATACCATTATACAACTCTTACCATTTATAAAGATCAATTCTTCAAAGAATTCATGAGTCAATGATAAAAGAAAGAAAAATAGCCCATAGGACCTGTCACATACCAGTTATTTTACCAATAATAAGTTGTTGAAATTCCTTTAAAAAAATGTTCAGGGCCTTGAGAAGAGAATTCCTCTAATACTTACATATGAAAGTAAAGGGCCATTATTTCTCCAAAACTGACTTACTCACAAACAACAGAAAGTATGTACCAGAGCACTTGGTACAAAATATTTCAAAACTCAATCCAAAGTAAGGTCTCCACATAAATTTGATTACAATATGTCATTCTTAACTCTAGTTATTGACTGGAAACCTTTTTGTTGTTGTTAGTAAAAGTGATCTTGACCCTTTGAGGCCAAACCCAATCCAAACAGAAGCAGTGGCTAAAATATTATGTTTACCAATTTTTTTTTAGGGAGCAGATCTAAAAAACTGACATTGCATCTTAGTGGTTTCACTCTTCCATGAAGCACAGATGTGAAAGTAGAACAAGAGGGCCATGATGGCCCTGAGTCGGTCACCAGAAACAACTGCTTTTCAGTGTTGGAATGTCAATATATTCTCATATTAAACTTGAGCATAGAATATGTTTAAACAATAATTTGAAGAAATGACATGACCTGGGGCATTTAAGCTTAAGCTTAAATGGGGCTAATCAAATTAATATGAGCAAACTTGATAAAAGACTACCTAAGAATGCTACAAAGTTTGGTGATCATCTATCAATTATTTCAGTAGGAAATGATGTTCGAAGGTTTTTTCTATTTTTAGCTTTAGTGGCCCCTAAAAAGGGCCAATCAAATTAATATAAGCAAACTTGATAAAAGAGTACCCAGACAAAGTTTGGTGATCATCCATCAATTGGTTCTGAAGTAGGAGATGTTTAAAGGTTTTTCCTATTTTTAGCTTTAGTGGCCCCTAAAAGGGGCCAATCAAATTAATGTGAGCAAACTTGATAAAAGAGTACCCAAGAATGCTACAGACAAAGTTTGGTGATCATCCATCAATTGGTTCTGAAGTAGGAGATGTTTAAAGGTTTTTCTATTTTTAGCTTAAGCGGCCCCTAAAAGGGGCCAATCAAATTAATGTGAGCAAACTTGATAAAAGATTACCCAAGAATGCTACAGACAAAGTTTGGTGATCATCCATCAATTGGTTCTGTAGAAATAGACATTTAAAGGTATTTTTATTATTAGCTTTTGCGGCCCCTTTTTAGGGGCCAATCAGAATAATATTAGCAAACTTGATAAAAGATTACCCAAGAATGCTACAGACAAAGTTTGGTGATCATCCATCTATTAGTTCTTTAGAAATAGACATTTAACTGTATTTCTATTTTTAGCTTTAGTGGCCCCTAACAGGGGCCAATCAAATTGTTATGAGCAAACTTGATAAAACACTACCCGAGAATAATGTCGACATAATTTGGTGATCATCCACCAATTAGTTCTGTAGGAGAAGACGTTTAAAGGTTTTTCTATATTTAGCCCTAGAGACCCCTAAAAGGGGCCAATCAAAATGATATTAGCAAACTTGATAAAAGACTACCCAACAATGCTACAGACAAAGTTTTGGTGATCATCCATCAATTAGTTCTCTAGAAATAGACACATTTAACAGTATTTTTATTTTTAGCTTTAGCGGCCCCTAAATGGGGCCAATCAAAATAATATGAGCAAATTTGATAAAACACTACCCAAGAATGCTACAGACAAAATATGGTGATCATCCATCAATTAGTTCTGAAGGAGAAGATGTTTAAAGGTTTTTCTATTTTTAGCCCTAGAGACCCCTAAAAGGGGCCAATCAAAATAATATTAGCATACTTGATTTAAGACTACCTAAGAATGCTACAGACAAAGTTTGGTGATCATCCATCAAATAGTTCTGTATAAATAGACGTTTTAAGGTTTTTCTATTTTTAGCTCTGCTGACCCCTAAAAGGGGCCAATTGGAATGACATGAGCAAATTCAAGTGTGACTGTCACAAGGTTGCTACAGACCAAATTTGAAGTAAATCTGCCCATTAGTTTCAGAGAAGAAGATGATTGTTGACGCATGACGACACGGACGCCGGAGCATCCCCCTTGATACTAATAGCTCACCCTGAGCCTTCGGCTCTGGTGAGCTAAAACAAGAGGGCCATGATGGCCCTGAGGTCGCCTCACCTGTATATAGGCCCCCCCAACCCCCACCCCACCCCCCCAACATTGCAGGGCCAATTTTAACCAAGGGCTTTTTTATTTGCACAAACTTGGTAGACACCCATAAGAAGATGTTTCATGCTAAACATCTAAGCTCTAGCTCATTGGGCTTTTTAAAAGAAGATTTTTTTAAAGTTTTTACTATACACATATAGTTAAAAACTATGACACCCCTGGGGCCAGGCCAGTTTTGACCCCAGGACTTTTATTTGAACAAACTTTGTAGACACTTACTAGAAGATGTTTCATGCTTAATATCTACACTCTAGCTATTTGGGTTTTTTCAAAGAAGATTTTAAGTTTTTGCTATACACATATAAAGAAAATCAATGACCCCGGGGCGGGGCCAATTTTGACCCCAGGTCTTTTATTGAACAAACTTTGTAGACACTCACTAAAAGATGTTTCATGCTTAATATCTTAACTCTAGCTATTTGGGTTTTCTCAAAGAAGATTTTTTAAGTTTTTGCTATACACATATAAGGAAAATCAATGACCCCCGGGGCGGTGCCAATTTTGACCCCAGGGCTTTTATTTGAACAAACTTGGTAGACACCTATTAGAACATGTTTGATGCTAAATATCTTAGCCATAGCTCTTTGAGTTCTTTAAAAGAAGATTTTTTAAGTTTTTACTATATGCATATAGGGAAAATCAATGACCCCCCTGGGCGGGGCCAATTTTGACCCCAGGGCTCTTATTTGAACAAACTTGGTAGACACCCATTAGAACATGTTTCATGCTAAATATCTTACCTCTAGCTCTTTGGGTTCTTTAAAAGAAGATTTTTTAAGTTTTTACTATATGCATATAGGGAAAATCAATGACCCCCCAGGGCGGGGCCAATTTTGACCCCAGGGCTTTTATTTGAACAAACTTGGTAGACACTCACTAGAAGATGTTTCATGCCAAATATCTAAGCTCTAGCTCTTATGGTTTTTTAAAAGAAGATATTTAAAGTTTTTTCTTTCGGTTGCCATGGCAACCAGAGTTCTGCATGGAATTAAATTCTTTGAACAATTTTTAAAGGTGACCACCAAAGGAACATTCCTGTGAAGTTTGGATGAAATTGGCTTAGTGGTTTATGAGGAGATGTCATTTAAAGTAAAAGTTTACGGACGGACGACGGACGGACGGACGCCGGACGAAAAGCGATCACAAAAGCTCACCCTGTCACTGTGTGACAGGTGAGCTAAAAAAAGAAAACAACCTGAAAAAACTTGCATAAGTTCAATTTAAGTTGATGTTATTGGTACTGACAATACCAATGTCACTTCAAACTTACCAACTTTTGCTATAACAAGAGGGCCTCAAAATACCCCCCCCCCCCCCTCGCATGATGCACCAGGCACTGACAATGACCTCATTCAAGCTAGATAGTAAATCACTTGCTTTGGAAACTATTTTTTTTAGAAGATGATTTTATAATATTTAAAGCACTCTCTTAAAACCATGCAAGAGAAGTGAAACTTGACAAATATGGGAATTTTTTTTATCCCAAATTGGAAAATTACAGTGAAAATTATTTTCTAAGATGAAGAACTTATACATAATATATAAAACACCATCACCTGAACAAAACCAAATTTATGCTTTATATTTACATGCAGACAAAAAAGCCATAACTAATAACAAATATGTGTCAATGTAACTTGTAATGAATGGAGAAGGCATAAATTAGTTTTTAATATACGATAATCATCTTGCAGTTAGAAAACTTTGAAGTCAAATAATGTTTTTATGTACAAATTTAAATCCTTTTACCTATATAACTTCAACCAAACAAGAACTGTCCATATAACAGCGTACTTGACTATTCTCCATGCTTGATACTAAAACAAGATCCTGGGTAATTTAGAATTTTGTTAGTTCAAAATGGGCCAAAATTCTATCAAATTAATATATATATATGAGCAAAGGGCCTTGGACAATAACCACCTATTATGTTCCGATATAAGTGGAGTTTAAACCTATTCCTTTCAGTAGTTTTGGAGATACCAATTTGCAACCGAAAACATAAGCAAAGTGTGACACCCACAACAGCTCTCCATTTTCTTTGAATACTCAAGCAAAAAGGCCAGCAATTAACCTTTACCATGACAAAGATACTCTAATTTTCTCTCACCAAAAAACTAAATTCTCCATTAAACAAGTTCGCATTCTAAGTTAACCAAATAATAAGTTACCCTTATCAGAAGATACATCAAACACCACTGAAAGCCTGATCCTTGATAAGCAAACTATGACATAAACTGAAGCCTATATAAGCAAACTGCTAGGACATAAACATGCAAATCTAACCCCTTACATGTAGACTACACAATGCTGCATCCTCAATGCACGTCGCACACTTACGTTGCACCTCCTTGTGGAGTCATAGCTTGAGCAGGGTACACCGGCGGTGATCCTGGTCCAGAATATTGGGGACTTTGTGGGTAATCATTCATCCCTGTTCCCGTGGGCCTGCAGAAAATATCAGATTAACTTAGCTCAAATAATTGTACTATATAAAAGGCTATTTTCACTATTCAAAAAGTTTCCAAAATCATAATTTCTGAAGTTTTTCCCTTGTGAAAATGTTGGCAAATTGCCTTTTCTTTTCTGAAACAAAATTTACTTCAATCCATGCAATATATTCATATTAGTTGAACAAGTATTACACATAATTTCACCATGCATGTGAAAACTGAAATCTGTACTGGTTTGATGAATGACCTTGAAATTGAAAGGCAGGGGCAATTATTAAAACATTGTACTTGTTTTTGACATGTTAAAAATTATCATGTTGCAACAACAAGTTAAGTACACAGAGTAATGTTTGAATAATGTTTTGCTTGACACAGGAGATGTCAGTCAGGTATATCAATGATTTGTAGGTATCAAGGATTGAATAGGTTGAAAATTACTATTGTTAAATGTTCTCCAATATCTGTTTTGTTACTGAAAGACTTAGGAACTTAAGCTGTTGAAATTTTTGCTAGCTCATATGTTTGCAGTTTTTATGAACTCAGAAAATCACAAACATTTCAAGATGTCAACACTTAGAACACTACCATTTGCCATTGAAATGTGACAACATAATGCATGCCTTTTCCTAAAATTAGATACTAGATTTGAACAAAATATATAGAAAATACAATACTCACAGATGACCATCAATTACGTTGATCAAGGTTGTTTTCACATAACCCCCTGGCACCAAATTGGGTGCCGAGTCTGTAATAAATAAAAGTTTGTATAAAATAATTGAAAGACAAAGGTGTTACTATAACAGTTAACCTGTTTGGTTGGGATCTCAGCCACAATTATGGCAAGCATTATATCATACCAAGAATCAACCCCCCCCCCAACCTCTCCCACCATCACCTGAGATTTTATTCTGCAAGAAGAAGATTTGTACTATTCTGTCATTCCTGTCAAGTTTCATATAAATTGGTTGGAGCAGTTTTGACATTACTTAAGGCATGACTGGGTACCTCAGTAAAACAACCATATTACTATAAGCTAGCTGGCTAGCTCCCTCACTTTCAACAATTTAAAGTTCCTGTTGGATTTTTACCCACAGTGCTGAGAGGCAAATTATTATCTTTTTACCAATTTTAAGAATTGTTTCCTTAGAATTTTCATGAAATATTTTACAGAAGTCAAGATTACCTGCAGTTGGTGGTGAGTAATATTTCTGGAAGGCATTGTCTTTGGGAATATCTGGATACAGGGTAACTAGGGAAGTCAAATCCTTTATACGATCTGCCAGACCACGGATTGTAAAGTCTTTGATTGTAAATGGTGCCAAATTCCATACCATTCTTTCACCTTCAAGGAAATTCATTTCATAAAAATAATAAGTAAAAAATACTTAGTACATAAATACACAAAATTTAATAATGAAAAGCCAGTCTCTACTTAAGCTATTGACTTTGACCTAAAATCCAAACAAGGTTTAAAATGGATCAAACAGAATGTATATCTTTTGAGCTCCTTTGATAAAACAAAATACAATGTTAAGTGATAACAACACAATAGTAACCTTAAATTTATTCTTCAACAGATGCTAAATATTTTCATGAAATGATTTTTCAATATACCATGTATATCTGTACTTTAACTTTAAAAAAATTATTATAAAACTTTTAGAGAAAAGTCAATAGACAAAGAATTTTTGGAACCATAAAAACAGAAAAGTTTCAAAGAGTACCAATTTAAGAGTAAAACTTTCATAGGTATAATCAGTAACACTTAACAATTTGAATGCTCAGTTTTAAAATATTTATAAATAGATGGTGTTTACTGCATGCTAAGGCCCCCACGATTACACGTTTAAACGGATTCGTTTCGATTTTCATTCATAAACGTTTACGATATTGTTTACCGTTTAATCGAAATGACCATATTGTCTCGCAAAATTTCTTAATCATTGCCTGTAATCATGGATTTTATCAATTCTAGTGGTTTATTCCAAAGTAAACAAACGGAAAATAGGTGTTCACAACCCTCCACACAACATTACGGTGCAAAGTTGCTCGTGACATAAAACATTTTTGGTAAAAAATGGGGTTACAATGCAAAAATGTGTGCTGACTCAATTGTGATGGGCCCTGCGCATTCTTTATTTGTACATGTGTAAAAATTAGAAAGAAAGACATCATTTGGCGACTCAAATACATGGTGTGCATAGTACATAGAGGTACCACCGTTTAAACGGTATCGTTTCGGTTCTTAGCAATCGTGTAAACGTTTACAAAAAATTGTAAACGTGGGAGCCTTACCGCATGCCAGATATGTAAAAAAAACTTTTCAAAAACTAAATGTTAATCAAAAGCTAATAGAGTGTATAACTCTATATTTTTTGCTGCAAAAATTAATTGCATTTTGAAAAAGAATACTTCCTAAACACCTGTATGAAAGTGGCTCTAGCAAAAAATCATTGCTAAAAAGTAAAATGTCTATCTCAAACAGCAGCATAATATTTTGTTCCAAAATATTTTATTCTTTTTACTAACAATATTCATAAGTGTTAAAAAACATAGCTATTTCAAATGTTAAAGTGATTCTACACTCAAGAGATTTTGAAGTTTCTTTCATTATAACAAAAAATAACATCAAATTGTTAAGACAAATTTTAACAATATTATGTAAAAGATATGAAATGCTCAAATTTGTTACTAGAAAATACTGAGTTGTTATACAGTCTTTTTTTTTAACATATATCTTTTGAGTACACTAAGAGAAGACATATTTTAAACTACACACTATAGGTAAACACAGTATGACTACATAGTATTGTTAAAACAATGGCTTTTTTTTTCTTCAAAGGACCAAATTAATTGACCAGTAAAAGGGAATTTGAATGCAGCTTCTCCAAAATAGTTTGTGCATTCTTTTATTAAAATTAGACAAATTAAGGAAGAATTTTCTAGATTTCAAAAGAAAAGTATTTTACCAAAAGATGAGCATAGTATATCTTTATCAATTTAAAAACATACTTATATATGATCACATACATGAACACTACCACAACATTTCACATTCACCACCACACAAAATGTGCATATTTTATGTCAAACTAATAAGCTTATATGGCTTTAAAATAATGAACACGTATTAATGACCTGCACTACAGTAAAACACATCAATATGGACTAGACTTTAAAAAAGAATTGTCAGGTCTTTGATAACAGGTAGCCTGTCATAACAAGTTATTTTTGTGTTGTAACTGTTCAAAAGGGAAAATTGAAGTTTAAGTGAACAAGTAGCATAAGAACTTTTTTTTTTCATTCTTTACATGTACTAGCCAGGTTAAAATCATACCACTAACAATTCCTACTAGCAAATAATTTATATTATTAGTAGAGGTTACTTACACACAACTTTTTCACCTAAATAACCAATGAAATATGTATTGTACTAGGAGCTAAACTCTGTGCCTTATATCAGGCACTTACAGGGACTTACATGATACTTGGACAACTTCCTCACTATTACACAATTAGTTTAAGCATATCTACTTTAAGCTTTATTGTTAAGCATAAATCACACAAGTTTGCTTTCTGGAACTAATCAGTAGGCAATATGGTCATGACCCTTGAATGGCTCTTTTTTTTATCATTCTCACTGCTCCTTTTTTTTTCATGACAGAAATTAGAACCCATGGCAGGATTTGAATTTGCAGGGTTCCATTTTGAACAAGCTTGACAGACTAAGCTGAATAAAGAAATAAAGATACAATAATCGGCATATAAAATTGAGCTGCACCACGACAAAACCAACATAATGGGTTTGCGACCAGCATGGATCCAGACCAGCCAGCATATTCTGCGCAGTCTGATTAGGATCCATGCTGTTCGCTATCATATTCTCTACTTGTAAAAGGGTTGGTAAGCGAACAGCATGGATCCCTATCAGACTGTGCGGAATGCGCAGGCTGGTCTGGATCTATGCTGGTCGCAAACCCATTATGTTGGTTTTGTCGTGGCGCAGCTCATATAATTATCATGTTATCATACCGGGTTTATCTTGCTGATCAGCTACCCACGCTATCGTAATTCCTCCTACCGTCCCATCGCTGAACCGTAATAAAAATGTTCCATTAGGTCGGGACAACAATTGATCATTAGACTCGGTTCTGTCCATGAAACCTATTATTGACCTAAAATAGTAAGAGGGTTTTAGTATTGAAGCATTAATAGAAACTAAAAGAAGAAAAACAGAAACCATGTACCCATTTACCTGTGCAACAGTGTCAAAATTATAGTGTAACCAAATAACGGTGGTTTTTTGGGGGGAGAGAATTCTTTCTTAACAGTTTTCTACAGTAAATACATCTATGTTAATGAAACAATTATAGCTAGTCAGTGTTAACATGTTACAATAAAACAAAATTAGACTAAAAGTTAAAACACCCAACTTTAACTATTTTTTTTTAAAAACCTCCAAGAGGTTTTACCAAAGAAGTCTCTCAAAAAGTCCAGAAAACCACCTTGTCAGTAACAACCTGCCAAAGAAGTGCTTTGCATTATATTTTGCCTGCTTTTCAAGTATTGTAAAAAAGCAGACTGAAATCACACAACGAAACTACACAAAGAATATTCTTCTAGTCATCTAAATGATAACATATCTCAAAAGTGCATGCTAAAAATCTTGACCCACATTTGAAACAAATACTTCTACACAGTGCAACAATGAGTACAGATTGATTTTTTTGTTTGTTTAATCATCACACCACACGTAAACACTTCACGACATGTTAGATGCTGTATTACCCATCATCCTATTATCAGCGGGGGTACAGTTTCTCCTATCAACTACCCAGGCAACAGTTATACCCCCTAGCTCTGATTCACTGAACCGAAGGAGGAAAGTACCCCTAGAACTCTGTGATATCAGGTCTTCAGATTCCTTCCGGTCAGCAAAACCTAACAGTAACCTAAACATCCCGTACAATTAATAATTTCATGCTGTTACAATTTTTTCTTATATAAATGACATTTCGAGGGTTGAACGCAAATCTGTTGTAAGTCCTTCTTTACTTCATATAAATTACTGCAGTTTTACGGTCAACCCTCGATATAAGGTTACGCACCCAGCAATACCCCTTACCATGCTAAATACGTAAA